TATTTAAAACTTTATTCATTTCTTTAAAAAAACAAAAGTAATTTTATGTATAATAAATAAATAAAATGCAAATAAAATGAAATGAAAGGTGGCCGAGAGAAGAAAAAATCTTATTACGTCTGCCCCTTTTTCCTCAAATATAAATTCAAACAATAATGATCTTCAGTTAACAGTTTCCTCTGTTCAGGACCAYGGACAGTGCAAGAGACCCTAAACACAATGATCAGTGCCAACATTCTGGCTCTCAAACATATAAAGTTGAACAATTGTAAACATAAAACTCTATATATCATGTTTATTTTCACATTCAAAACCAGAATGTTTAGAATAAAACAACCCTCATGAATACATGACAAGGTCAGCTTTCTTTATCATTCTCCCGCTTTGGTAAATCCCAGCAGTAACTTTCATAAAACAAGGTTAAACTGTCAGGAATTCTGTCCCAAATGCTTTAAGATAGTGCTACAAAATATAATTTAGATCACAAAAGATAAGAAATGCATGAAAAGTCTTATTTTACTTGAAAGAGCAGCATTTTACATCTATTCTGGGAGGATTTCATGCTAAATCACCACCTTTTAATGATGCATCTGTCCATTAAGCTTTGCAATAAAATTTCCAGTTCTTGTAAAGGAACTAAGTCTAAAAGCTATAGCTACATTATTTAAAAATATTTTGTTTTATTTTAAATTATGTTTTTTTAACACATCTTGTTTTAAATCCAGGTTAAAGGCAGCGGCTGAGCACGAATGGAACGAGCTGATTTTCCTGCTGACAGCAACGCCTGCTGCGACAATATGGCCTCGCCGAATTAAAACATTCCCTACGGAGAGGCAGGAGGGACACACAGAGAGGAATCTGCTGTGGAAAATCACTGAGCAGATCTGGAGGAAAGGCCAATTCATTAGGAAACATATAATCATCATTTCTTTCCATTAAAAGCCTAAGCATTGTACGTAATTTGGGAGGAGAGCAGAAATATAAAGAAACTTTTTTGTTTTCAGATCTTACGATGGAGAAAAAAGGTTTAAGTTCCACCACTTGTGCTAAAAATGCCCCGTTTATAATGACAGGTTTCCAGCATTTAGCCGTGTTTGTCTCTTCTAAATGGGGATAATGACGCAGACTGAGTTTCCTACGTTGTGTAATGTTATACGAGAGACGGACAAAAAGCTACAGCAGTCAGGCAGATTAAAAAAAAGGATAAAAAGACAAACATAAAGAGGTAGTGTTATCTGCTACAGAGGGGAAAAAACACTGAGATTTACTATATATTTATTTATTTACAAGGACGTTAATTTTAAACTGCTTGTAATGTCGTCAAAGAGATAATCGCTCTTTATGTAATTTTAGAAAGAAGGCAACAACTGATGAAAACCACCTGAGGACATCTTCTGCAACTCCCAGATCCATCATCTTTAAAGTTAACCTGTCAGCTTGATCTTAAAGGAGCAAACAGACAGACAGAGCAGTGTGCAGACAGGCCAACGTAACAGTGTGGGACATACAGGAGATTCAAAGCAATCATTTGTGGCCTGCAGGGATAATCACTGCAAAGCCCCACTGTCCCATTCAGTCAGGATAAAACCCACCGGATTAATCTGTAGGCATGCAGAACACACACACACACACACTTCAAAACACTTACATAACTCATAGAGCACTCTTTCGCTCTGTCTCGTCTTTCATGGTTTTCTTTTTTCATTCACTTTTCCTCAGCTTTTCACATCTTTCAGCTCAAACTGAGATCAATGTACAACTCTGCTAAAGATGAACACCTGTCAACGTGCTGCTCGTTGCATGTTAGTCACATGTGCACAAAGAAGCAAAGCAGTATGTAAGGAGCTAGAGAAACTGCAGTTTCTATGAAGCTACAGTACAAATGCTGAGTGCTGAATAACTTAGCTGACATGCTAGAGAAGCTGAAACTGAAATGTTAAAGTTAAAAAGAGTAAGAGAGAAACTAGAAGTAACAAAACGCTGGTTTAAAGAAACAAAAAGATATTTATAAGTACCATACAACTAACTAAGTATAGCAAATGACTACATCAAACTTAAAAGATGACTAGCTTAAGAAAACAGCAACAGGAAATTGGATGATTTGAAGAAACTRAAGAGATTTTTACTTTATTTTTGGGGGAAATATTTGTACATAAAGTTTAATATTTGGGAAAAGTGTGAAAACTTACAAAATATTTTAAAATAGAACTAATCTCTTCAATGAGCTGAATGCTTTAACATATGAATGGCTGAAATAACACAAAGTACACATATGTAAATGTAAATAAACTTCAAAATACTTTACATAACAAAAAAATAAAAACAAAAGCAAACAATGTACAAAACGTTATTTTGTCTGAATTGTTGGATGATTACAGCATATTGTATTGCACACAAAATGTGTGTACACATATAACACAATATCGTTTGAAAAGGAGGTTTGTGAATTCATCCCAGATGTGAGCTTTAAACTACAATATATCTGTTTTAGTTAGTAACCTTGCCACATGAAGGTAAGAGAGGAACATATGCGGAGAGCTGCTCTGCATCAGATTACTTCAGCTCCATCACTTCATCCTGATCAATAACGGGATCATATCATGGCTGCATTAGGATCAGAGTACAGAGGTGTGTTTGTGCATCAAAGGGGAAAAACAGGCTGGTCATGAGTGGAAACCACTCTGAGTACAGCCGTCACTTCAGGGTCCAGAGCTATGAAATAAACATGTAGATTAGTGGAGTTTTGCTGCTTTGGAGTTTTATTTTGGGAGTTTTTGTATCAACTCAGGCCTAAAAAAAAGATCATATCCACGATCAAATTACAGAAGTACTGATACTTAAACAGGTAAGATTTGATGTCTAATATTCTCCCATAGCTTGTCCCCTCAGGACAAAACCAGCAAGAACGAAAATACTTTTAACACTGAACAGGAAACAGGTTGCAAATCTGAGCTTGCTGCTCATTTTGATGCACAAACAAGCGAGCGACAAGAAAATGTGATCACAGCCCTCAGATGACAGGAAAATACGTGTTATGTGTGTGTTTTAGCAAATGTGACAGTGCTGCATCAGAGGAGGGTGGTAATTTCTCACCTTTTTCTGATGGATGATACAGAAACGGTTGTGTGTGCGTGTTTGTGTGTGTGCGTGTGTGTAGCGGGGGGGGGGGGGGTGACAGCAGGAACCATTTTGCCACCAGGAAGCAGATTTTATGCGACTTGGGATTATTTTACATCTTAGCAGGAGTCCAGGTATAAACTAAAGGTTTACTCTGCTCACTGAGTYAACAGCTTCTGTTCGCCATCTTACTAAATAATAACCAGCTGATGTCAAACGCATTTATACAAAAACACAGTGACACAATTTAGTCAAATAAGGTAACAAACACAGTGAACCCAAACCTGTTTTCCTAAAAACATCTGTAAACATCTGTCACTTCCTGTGGTTGTACGTGTGTTGTTTTAGTAGTTTTTCTTCTTTTTAATTATTTTTATGGAGTATATTGGGAAGAATTGGCCACTGCATGAAAATCAATTAAAAACACAGTATTTCTTGAAGTAATACATATTTTTAATGACGTTATGCACAACATTGTGAGATCTTGTGAGAAATGTTAGCACTCATAGTGTGTGTTGTGAAGGAGGCCCAGCTACTCCAACTCACCATGAGCTCAATATCTTCAAAACTGACTGATTTAGAGTCCTGTAATGTTGTTAAGCTGTGGCAGCCATCTTGAAATAGGCTAGGTCCAAAAAAATGTATCCGTTGTAGACGCAGGTTCAGTCATTCCTCTCCTAGAGTTTCATTAAAATCCATCCAGYGGTTTAAGAGATATTTTGCTAACAGACAGGCAGGGTCGAAACTAACATTTAATGCCAAAGCGTAGAGCTGCAATCTTGTGCCACGAGCAGCGCTTGGAGTATTTGTTGTGAATGACTTTCAGCTACAACCAACTTTGAATGAGTTGGGCCCTTTTTAACGTTTTCTGGGGTGAGTTAGCGGTGGCGGCCATCTTGAATGGGGTGAATGGGGTTGACAACAAAAGTTGATCAGCTGTAGTAGGTCTACATAGACTCTGTTCTGGTGACAGGGTTTTATCTCGCTCATTTGAAGATGTTTCTGGGATAAAGTGTCTGACAAATTCATCGGAGCCAGTAAGCTGAGCGCTCCGGAGCTGTCCAAGGTACCAGATTCAAGACCTGAACACAACAAACTGCTTAACTTCAGCCTATAAAACAATCCTCCTCGTGATAAAAGCTACAGGTAGTAAAGAAATGTCAGAGCGACTGTAGCCTCAGCTGCCCTGGACTTGAGATTTGTAAAACTAGTAGAGGAAAGAGAAAATCAATCGGAACGTCTCGCGAACTTATTGAGCCACTTTACTATTTTACTTCATTTAGTGTTTAGAAAAGACAAACATGGTCTCAGTTGGCCAAACCTACCTGTTTAACTTTCTTCTTCTTCTGTTCTTTTCTTTTCTTTGATCCGTGCGGGCGTTGGGCAAAAATGTCCGCTTCTAAGCTGCGTTTAACGGGACTATCCTCCCGTAGAGACTCACCGCCCTCCCCCTCCTCTCCTCACGCGCGGTGAACGCCTCAAAGAGTCACACGCGAACACTTCCTGTTTTGGATGTTCAAAATAAAAGCTCCGCAGGTGAAAAAGAACTTACCCAGACTTTACTTACTTACTTACTTACTTACTTTACTTACTTACTTACTTACTTACTTACTTACTTACT